CCGTCACTAATGCACGAGCAGACATAGATCGCAAAAAGATGAAGACAGATCAAGAGCCTGCGAACAAGCTCTCGAAATTCTTATAGCAATTACAGATCGCGGAGAGCCGCGAAACACGCGCCAAGCCGGTATGTGATGCAGTGGACTCGGTATGCATAGACGAGACGCGTCCAGAACGATGCGTCGAAATTGGAGCAAAACTAGAAGAGCCTCTGAGAAGCAAACTCCTTTCTCTCCTCAAAGAGAACATCAACACTTTTGCCTGGACAGCGGAAGACATGCCGGGCATAAGCATTGACATGACCTGTCACGAGCTGAACGTGGACCCAACCTTCAAACCAATCAAGCAAAAAAGAAGGAAGCTCGGACCCGAACGAGCTAAAGCAGTTAACGACAAGTGGAGAGATTGCTCAAAGTAGGATCAATCACCGAGGCCAAGTATCCAGACTGGCTCGCGAATCCAGTGGTTGTAAAGAAAAAGAACGGCAAATGGCGGGTCTGTGTAGATCTCACCGACCTCAACAAGGCATGCCCAAAAGACAGTTTCCCTCTGCCGCACATCGACCGGCTTGTTGAAGCCACTGCGGGAAATAGGCTGTTAACATTTATGGACGCGTTCTCCGGCTACAATCAGATCCTGATGCATCCTGATGATCGGGAAAAAACGGCATTCATAACTGATCGCGGGATATACTGCTACAATGTAATGTCGTTCGGGCTCAAGAACGCAGGGGCAACATATCAACGGCTCGTCAATAAAATGTTCGCGGCTCAGCTCGGAAAAACCATGGAGGTATACATCGACGACATGTTAGTCAAATCACTCAAAGAGGAAGACCACGTCGCGCATCTACGGGAATGCTTCGAGCAATTGAACAAGCACAACATGAAACTAAACCCGGCGAAGTGCAGATTTGTAGTCACCTCGGGAGAGTTCCTCGGCTATCTGGTAACTCACCGAGGCATAGAAGCAAACCCCAAGCAGATCAAGGCATTAATCGAGATGCCCTCTCCAAGGACGAAGCGCGAAGTGCAGAGGCTCACTGGAAGGGTCGCTGCGCTAAACAGGTTTATTTCCCGTTCCACCGACAAGTGCCTGCCTTTCTACGACACCCTTCGAGGAAACAAGAAATTCTAGTGGGACGAGCGATGCAAAGCAGCTTTCCAAGAATTGGAGAATTATCTGGCAAGCCCACCGATCTTAGCGAAACCAGTCGAAGGAGAGCCGCTCTTCCTCTACATCGCCGTATCGGCTACTGCTGTGAATGGAGTGCTTATTAGAGAAGAACGGTCCGAGCAAAAACCCATTTTCTACGTCAGCCAGACACTGACCGACGCCGAGACCCGCTACCCCCAGATCGAAAAGGTCGCCCTAGCCGTCATAGTGTCGGCTCGCAAACTGCACCCGTATTTTCAATCACATTCGATTGTTGTGCTCGCTACACTTCCGCTGTGCTCGATCCTACACAGCCCGAGCCAATCCGGTCGGCTCGCCAAGTGGGCCATAGAATTGAGCGAATACGACATCGAGTATCGGAACAGCTCGTCTGCAAAGTCACAGGTGCTCACAGCCGACCCCAGACGAAGTATGGACGCTGCACGTCGACGGCTCGTCATCTAAACATGGTTCAGGAATAGGAATCCGCCTCACCTCTCCCACAGGAGAGATATTGGAGCAGTCGTTTCGCCTAAACTTCCACGCCTCGAACAACAAAGCAGAATACGAAGCACTGATCGCCGATATATGGCTAGCGCAGGGAATCAGAGTTCGAAAGATAAGAACCTTTTGCGACTCACAGCTCGTAGCATGTCAGTTCAACGGAGAGTACGAGGTGAAGGATGGACGAATGGGAGCTTTTCGAGTCCGAGAGTTGGTGCAGAAGTTCGATGAATTCGAGCTCACACGAATACCCCGAGGAGAAAATACCTCGGCCGACGCCCTGGCAGCACTTGCTTCGACCTCAGACCCGGATCTCCGATGGACGATCCCAGTCGAGTTCATCGAACGTCCTAGCATCGAAGAGGTAGAAGAAGTTCGGCTGATAAATCCTCCCGAACGAGAACCGGGAGACGACGAAGCCATTCTTATGGACGAAGACTCCTTACCAGCCGAGCCGGAGTATGGCTGCGACAAAGAATGGCTCGGAGCCATCCGAGTATATATCGCCGATGGAGAAGTACCAACCGAAGAGTGGGAAGCCCGCAAATTAAAAGCTCAGGCTGCGCGGTATGTCCTCGTCAACGGCGAGGTGTTTAAATGGAGATTTTCAGGACCTCTCATGACATGCGTCGAAGGACCGGAGGCAAGAAAGATCATGCACGAAGTGCACAGCGGCGCGTGCGGAAACCATTCTAGCGGAAGGTCGCTCGCGATCAAGATAAAACGGCACGGTTACTTCTGGCCTACAATGGTCAAGGACTGCGAGAAATTTACGGCGAAGTGCGAGAAGTGTCAACGGCACGCTCCAACAATTCATCAACCTACCGAGCTGTTCTCATCAATTTCGTCACCCTACCCGTTCATGAGATAGTCGATGGACATAGTCGGACCTCTACATCGATCGAAGCAGAAGCGTTTTCTGCTCGTCCTCACGGATTATTTTTCCAAATGGGTCGAGGCCGATTCCTACGCAAGCATAAAGGATGTCCAAGTCGAACACTTCGTCTGGAAAAATATCATCTGCAAACACGGGGTCCCCTACGAGATAGTCATCGACAACGAATCCCAGTTCATCTCAATGCGATTTGAAGCCTTCTGCGAGAAGTGGAAAATCCGTCTACGCAAATCTACGCCAAGATACCCTCAAGGGAATGGACAAGCTGAAGCAGCCAACAAGACGATCCTAGACGGTCTGAAAAAGAGTCTCGACGCAAAAAAAAAGGACGATGGGCAGACGAACTCGAAGGAGTCCTTTGGTCGCATCGAATGACTCCGCGCCGAGCCACCAGAGAAACTCCATTCGCTTTAGTCTACGGAGCGGAATGTGTAATTCCCCCCGATGTGGATTTCCCAGGTATTCGACGAAGACTTCTACCAAGACAGGAGGGCTTGAACCATTTAATAATGATGCTGGATGAGCTCAATCTAGTCAACAAAAGGCGCGACCAGGCTTTAATCCAAATCCAGAACTATCAACAAGCAACGGCGAGATACTACAACAAAAACGTTCGTAGTCGAAGATTCAAAGAAGGAGAGCTCGTCCTTCGAAAGGTTTTCCAAAACACTGCCGAGAAGAATGCAGGAAAGCTCGGAGCAAACTGGGAAGGTCCTTACAAGATTACAAAAGTAGTTTGCCCAGGAGTCTACGAGCTCGCGACGCTAGCTGACGAAGCGATTCCAAGATCATGGAATGCAATGCACCTAAAGAAGTATTATCACTAAAGCTACAGCACGGTCAACATGAACTACAGGACGGTTTGATCCCTGCAAAGGGTACGTAGGCAGCCTGTCCTCGGACGGGTTCAGCTGTCCCCCCTCCTAAAAGGGGGGGGGGGGAGTGGGTACGTATACACATACTATCTTTTAACTCTGCAATTTTACCTCACCTACTTAGGAACATTGCCACTTCGGCCCATTTTCAGTTCATTTTAAATCATCTACTTATTTCACGTTCACCTTAGAATTATAGTTCGTTCATTATCACTTCGGCTAGTTTTCTCTTTCTTTTTAAAACATCAACTTATTTCATAATTCGCCTCGGATTTTTAATTCTTTCATTCATCACTTCGGCGAGTGATCATATCACTTCGACATGTTATCATGACTTGATCGTCTCGGACCTTTTACTTGCCCTCACTTTCAGATCGGCAAACTAAGTCTCCAAACGCCTCGTCTCGTTGCTGGCCACAACGGGACAACAAATACAAAGTTCTCTAAACGGACTTTTACCACCTTTCCTAGGACGAAGGTGCAAGTTACATCCTCTATGGATAAAAATTAAGCGCGCTATACATAAATCAGACCAAAAACGTATCGGTCGCTACAGTTTACTATCGTAAACGAGATTATAAGTCGAGACGACATCGCTTTCTCTAAAACCGAAGTAAACTCTTAAAACCCAGAAAAACACACTCATCCTCTCGGAAACACCGGTCTATAGTCATATTTAACGAGACTACTATATCCTCTTGAACTTTCGCCTCGTCAATGAGAAAACACATAACTTACCTGATAAACACTTTGGCTTTTTTCTCAAAACAATCTATAACAGCCCAGCTCAATGCGGACCTCTCTCAGTGACAGAATGGACAGACCCCGAATCATCTTTGGTTAATAAAAACAAAACGCCTCGTCGTTTACACGGCTCGGCACCACATGAAGAAAACGCCTCGTCGTTAAACATGGCTCGGCGTTCCCAACAGAAGTTGCTTTGATATTATCGCTTAATACTCTTCAGCGTCACCTAAAACAAAGACGCTCCACAAATCAACTCCCAGCTCGGGATTTAGAACTCAAACGGGATCCTTAACAACTCACCCATTAGCCCGTATTTCTATCGATTTCAAAGAGCTCGGCCAGGGAAGCAATCGAGATCATTCTCAACACAGCTCGATAAGCCAATCAATGACAATTTCTTTCCAAACAAACAGTTTTCGTAAACATTTTCACGGATCGTCAAGGATAAACGCATCAAATCCGAGAAACGGCTAAGGAAAAAAAGAATATAACCAAAAGAAAAAACAGTCAGGTGGATAAAGCCATCCAGGCACCGGTTACACAAAAAGTTCGAGAAGCAGATAAAGTCACCCAAAAATCATAAGTACAAAAATGCACGAGACGAAAGACAGGGGAAAGTGGAGAGGATCAAGCCGCGGACTGCGTTTCACGCTCGGCAAGGAGATTCGAGAGGGCCGGCGTACCCGCATTCGATCCGGTCGGATCTACGACGCCCAAGTTGGCCGCTGTCTCTTCGAGCGGCTCGTTACCAAGGCTTGTATCTACCGAGTCCGGCGATACGGGCGAGAAAACCAGCTGGCCTCGAATCTCGGAGGCAATGCGCTCATACGCTCATTACCAAAATCGTCTTCGGCGTACTCGCTCTCTCCCAGCACTTTAGCTGCGCCTCCTCATCATCGAGCATTGGGGCGTCCGATTTTTTCAGGACGGCAATCATCGCAAGGTTGCCCTTGATTTGCCCCAGCTCGTTCTTGTCGTTTTTGGCATTCTCGAACTTGGCCAAGCCTTCCTCTACCTTGGCGAGGCGCTCCTGAAACTTAGCCGTCAGCTCTCGCCTCGCTTCCTTCTTCGCACGCTTGACCTTGGCGTTAAACAAGGCATCTTTGGCCGCGATACGCCTTTTGAGCAATGCCACCTCGGCGCTTTTGGCTCTCCTAGCCTCCTCGAGGCGAATGACCGAGGCAGAGACTTTGTCAACATTGGCACGGAGAACTATCTTCTCCTCTTCCAGCCTCGACACCCTGGTCATCGCCTCGTCCAGCTTCCCCTTCGCCGCCGCGGTCTCGTTCCGAGCCTCGTCCAAGCGGCGTTCAACCTTAGACATGTCCATCTCGTATTCAGCCATCAGCTCGTTGATGGCCGCTACAAACTGCGAAGAATGATGCGCATTAAACACTTAGTGAGAATTCGATAAAATAAGGAGAGCAAACAGAATATACCTTGGTACCGCGCTGCGCCATCGCGCCGTACGAGCTCGGTCTCCTCAGCTTCTCAGGAGGAGGGAGACGCGTGTTCGCATTATTAACACGCGCGAACATTACTGCCGAGGCGTCAGGGTTGTCGACGACCAGCTTGCGTGCAGCGGGATCGCCAGGAGTCTGCTTGCGCCTCTTCTTGGTCGGCTCGTCCTTTTGGATTGCCGCGCCCTTCCCCTTGTCAGCGGCCGAACGTTTTTGGCCAGAGTCTTGCTTCTGTACAACCAAAGTCGGGGGCCTCGATGACTTCGGAAGAGCCAGGATAGCCGAGTTTGAAGGAGTTTTACTCCACGCCGCAGAGTCATCTCTGGACGCCTCGGGAATAATTTTGCCCGGTTCCACCTCGGGCGCTGCTTCTTTCTCGGTCGCCTCGGCAACGTTTGCCTCCGCGGCTCGGGTCGTGCCTTCACCTTCACGGCTCGGTGGATCGGTCTGAGGGATAGCCTCGGCCTCTGTCTGAGCCGCCTCGGCAGCTCGTCTCGCAGCTTCCTCCTCTTCACACTTTTTCTTGTCTCTAAGGGTAATGATCACCATTTTTTCCCTTGTGTCTAGCGAAGAATTTGAGGAAGAAGAGCTAACAGGAACTCTGGCAAGAATGGCTCGTGCTCTTTCCACTCTGTAGAATGAAAAATGCTTATTCCAATTAACTTTTCGAGCCGCAAGAGAATCTTGAACAACAAAGAGGTCGTCGGGAATCGGGGGAAGAATGCTCCGAACTGCAAAAACAACATAGGAAACAATCAGCTCGGTAAGAAAAGTATATACAATAAATAGTTCCGAGCCGAGGCAAAGCTTCGGATCGGCTACCAAGTGGTCCCCAAGCGGTTTTGGTTTTATGAACGTAGTCCTCGCCAATTGACGCCTCGTTCACCAAGACATAGAAAAAGCGCTCGGTCCAAAACTGATCCTTGCTTGGAAAGCCACCTATAATCCGGCGGTTGAACTTGTTGGAAATATAAAATCTATCTCCCTTCGGAGCTTTCCTGATTTCCAGCAAGTTCAGCAGGTGATTCAGTTCAATATCGAGCCCGCATTCGAAGCTTCGAACCAAAATGCCGATCATGTGCCGCAGCCCTCGGTATGATCTGTCCGATTGAGATCCCATGTTTCCAGAGGTACTCAAGGATAACTCCGGGGATCGGGATCCAGAGAAAACAAAGCTCAAAGAACGCCTCGTACAGAGTAAAGTGATTCTCAGGAGGATTGTCGGCTCGGTCATTCTTATCTGGAAGGACAAATTCTACCGCCTCGGATATCCCAAAGCGACATCTCAACGCCTCAAGTGAGTCAGGGGAGGAGAGCGTAGAGTTGGGCGGGTCAGGTTTTTGTCTTTTCACTCTTTTCCCTCGCCCAGATGAAGAAGCGCCTCGGGACGCCATGAGACGTTCTAGTTCACGCTTCGCCTCGAGCAGATCAAAGGGAAAAGCTTCCTCCTCGGGTTTCACTGCGGCATGATTAACATCTTCGTCTAGAGCAGGACCCTGAGGGCGGCTCGTCGAAATGGACGGCTCGTCATCTAGAGAGCGAGCGCCTAACGGATTCGAACGATTCGACGCCTCGTTGCTTTCAGACGAACGATGGGAAGGGCTCGGCGAGACAGACGCCTCGGAGGATCCTGATACACCCCTCGCCTCGGCGTCTGCACTGCTCGGTTCGTAATTAAAAAGTGAATCCAGCGAATCATCGGAACGGTTCGACATGATTTACAGCTTGTACGGGAATTACAATATTACGCGGCGGACTTCCATCGGAAAAAGATCTGGAGCGACAGAGACCTCGGAACCCTAGCCGGAAAATAAATAAACTAGAGAGAGAAAGAAGAGAGAAGGGAGAGCTACCTTTAGTGAAAACGAGTGGATCTGAAGATTATGAGAAGGAACGAAGGAGCTCGCCTATTTATAGGAAAACCGAAGCGCGTGAGTTCCATGTGAACCTCGGGAAACCGTCCAACAGCGCGTGGGATCCGCGGCGTATTAGCTAGCTCCAACTGCATCGGTTACACGCGCCAATAAATCAGGAAAATTCTTTCGGAAGACCAACGGTTGGGATATCTGAGCTTTCAGCCGATATCTCGCCACAGTAAACGCCTCGTCGTTAACAAAACGGCTTGGCATTAACTTTCTCTTGAAACGCCTCGTCGTTAACAAAACGGCTCGGCATTAACTTTCTCTTGAAACGCCTCGTCGTTAACAAAACGGCTCGGCATCATATTTGCAAAACGCCTCATCGTTTAATCGGCTTGGCATCATTTCTAAAAAAAAAAAAAAAAAAAAAAAAAAAACGCCTCACCTCGCCGACTAATCGGCTCAGCATCATCAAGCAAGCCCCTCGCTATTACTCTTCGTGGCACACCTCGGTGAAAGCAACGCGTAAAAAATCTCCGAAGAGCATCTCCTCTCCCTTTTTCCTCGGCACGATAGTTAAGTCTGTGACATAGAATGATAAACCTCGTCACTCCCGTTTCCGAAACTGACGAGCTGGGGGGCTAACTGTGGGGTCGGTTTCACCCCAAACATTTTAACCATCTCAAAAATGACTAAGTACCTGAGAAAACTGAGCTGCAGTAAAAGACAAACGAGGGGCCGAATCCATAAGGGCGAGGAGTAATTGGGACGAGCCCTGCAGAGGGGTAATCGTGCCGAGCTACGCAAGAGGGGATACGGGTCGAGCTGAGCTGCATCACAGATGGACTGGGCCGAGCCTTGTTAGGGAGCCACTGGGCCGAGCTGTATCGTTAGGTATGGGCTGAGCCGCACTTCAACAGGACTGGGCCGAGCCGCACCTCGGTGAGTTAGGCCAAGTCGCATTTTAACTCGAATAGCAAGTGGGCCGAGCCGTAGAGAAGGATAGATGGGCCGAGCTGTGAGAAGAACGGAGAGTGGGCCTAGCAGCGCGAGAGGAAGCATGGGTTGAATCGCTTCCCTTTGTGTTGGGCCGAGCCGGGTTTCCAAGATGGGCCAAACCAAGGCTTTGGAAGACGAAAGCCCACAGAAGCCCTAAGCGAAGTACTATGGCGGTGGCCGCACGAAGCGATAAGGAAACATTCCTAAAATCTCTCCCGAGATTCTCGGCTAGGCGGTTTAAGAAGTTAGTATAAATAGGAGATCTCTGCGATTCATTATGTAACTTGAGCAACCCTAAGCAATAAAGACCTAAACACTTTCACAGCAATAAAAATCCTCTTTTGATCTTACTGTTCTTGCGATTACCCTAGAAGTTTCGGATCCCTTAGTTTTTCTTTACAAGTTTTTGGTTGTGCGAGTTTCGGCTCACACAGAAGTCAAGCCATACGGAGCCATCGTCCTGTGGGATAAAACCGGCAATTCATTTACAGTGAATGGACAGCGTATAAAACCATATATGGCTGAAGAAAGAGAAGACGAGAGAGAAGTGATGTTTTTAATTGATCCATCCTTGGCCAAGGATGATATATGCACGGGCCTATAGATGGGGATGGATCCTTGTTGCTGGTTGTGTAACTCTCTCAACAAGAATAAAGAATGGGTTTTGATATGAAAAGAGGATGGAACTCGATCAGCTGGTTGTGTAACTCTCTCTGATTGAGTCAAGGGGTGGAACGATGGTGATGCACACGGTGGAACGAGGGTCGCCACAAAGCTCTATGGACTGAACCTTGATAAGACCAACGAGAGATGGATCAAACACCAGCTCTCAAGAGTAAGATCAAACACGAACTCTTAAGTGAATTCAGAGAATTCAAAGACAAGACAAAAGCTTGAAGAACTGCGTTATTTTATTGATAGTAGGGTGAAAGATACACGGCTGCTTATAAGGGACTTTATAAGAGAGTCCAAAGCAGCTTTGCCCTTCTTGGGGACTTGAAGCAAATTACATAAAAAGGATACAACTTTCTGGGACTCTAAAGGAACAGACTCGTGCAATAACTAAATAAATATTCTAAGACTTAAAACTATGAATAGAGCCTGTAAAACAACCAAAGACAGAAAACCATATTAGGCAAGTAAGTAAACGTATTCATTCTCTTACCTTGGTGCATTGGACGGCTAGGATGGTCTTAAGTTGGCGTGATGCTGATGCTGAACAAGGACACTTCTTTGTTGGGTCGGAGAAGTGGTAATTCAGTTGTTGGGCCGTCTTGTATGAGATAGGCTTCTTCTTTACTAGGCTCTTCCAGGCTTCTTTCTTGGACCGTGGCCTTAAAGCTTGGGTACAAAGAGTCTTCTTGCTCGTGGATGCTAGGTAAGGCTTCAATAGCTTGATTAAACTCCTCTCTCAAGACTCTAGTTCCGGATCTTGTTCTTGGTCCTTGTGTCACGGCTGGGATAGGTGGAGCTTGTGGTTCTATGCCCTCATCATCCCCTCCCTCTTGAGAAGGTTCTGACCTCAGAACAGATTCATCTGCATCATAGGGAGACAAGTCAGTAACATTAAAAGTAAGAGAGGTATTAAACTCACCTGGCAGCTCTAGTTTGTATGCATTGTCGTTGATTTTCTCCAAGACTCGGAATGGCCCATCTCCCCTTGGTGCAAGCTTGGATTTTCTTTGTTGTGGGAACCTTTCTTGCCTCATGTGCAACTACACCCACTCCCCTGGTTCAAAGGTAACCTCCTTGCGCCCTTTATCAATTCTTGCTTTGTCCTTTTTGTTCTTTTTCTCCAGTTTCTCTTTAACCTTTTGGTGCAGCTTCTTCATAAAATCGGCCTTAGCTTCTCCTTCTGCGCTTGAATAGATGGCTGGTGGCAAAGTAATAAGGTCTAAAGGCGTGTTAGGGTTGAACCCATAGACAACTTCAAAAGGAGATTGGTTAGTAGCGGAGTGTTTGGAACGATTATAAGCAAATTCAATGAAAGGTAGACAAGATAACCAATTCCTGAGATTCTTACCAACCGTGGCTCTCAATAAGGTTGAGGGTGTACGGTTTACTACCTCTGTTTGTCCATCCGTTTGGGGATGACAAGTGGTGGAGAATAAGAGTTTGGTTCCAAGCTTTTTCCACAATGTCTTCCAAAAATGGCTGAGGAATTTCGTGTCTCGGTCCGAAACAATGGTCCTGGGCACTCCATGAAGACGCACGACCTCTTTAAAGAAGAGATCAGCTGTTTGAGCTGCATCATTGGTCTTGTTACATGGTATAAAGTGCGCCATCTTTGAGAACCTGTCTACTACTACAAAAATGGAGTCTTTGTAGTGTATCTTAGGCAAGCCTAGAACAAAGTCCATAGAAATGTCCACCCAGGGTGCATTAGGAATAGGCAAAGGCATATGTAAACCATTAGGGTGTAACCTGGACTTAGCTCAGAGGAAAATGATACATTTGGTGCATAGCTTCTCCACGTCTCTTCGCATGTGTGGCCAGTAAAAGTGCTCCATCAGCACACTCAATGTCTTGTCTCGGCCAAAGTGTCCCATTAACCCGCCTCCATGAGCCTCTGTAGTGATCAACTCCCTCATGGACCCTTGTGGGATGCATAGCCGCTTTTCCTTAAATAGAAATCCATCTTGTTGGTAAAATACTCCAAATGCGGCCCTTGTAGTTTCTTTGTAGACCTCTGAGAAGTCGGGTTATGAATCGATAGATTCAGGATCTAAAATCTTCTAGATGTTCTTCGTTTGCCTTTGATTCTACTGCATGATTCTTTGCTGGCCACTTAGAAGCCGATCTGATATGATATGTTGCGAAAGCTTTCATTGATTGTCTGAACTAGGGTGAAACGAGCAATGATTTTATAGGAGTGGAAACCTACCTGTAGTTGAGTTGTGAATGTTGATGAGTCTTGTTCTGCTATTGCATCTTCTCCCTTCCAGGCTCAGAGTGGAAACCTACTGATCAGGGTTGTGAGAGATAGTTGTTTAGTGCTGCGAAAGTATAGCCGTGAATTCGTACTGAAACAACTAAGTCTCTGTGGATCGATACCCTAAGTACTACAGCACACATCTGTGCACTTGCAGACATTTAAGGGTTATAAATTTAAAATCCGAAGCTTAGTAAAACAAAAACAACAAACCCCGCTTTTGTTCGCAATCATGTTTTTGTTGGGCTAAACAAAAAAGTTTCGATAAACTGACTCTGGATGGCAAAATTTGTTGGGTTGATGAGTTAGACGGAATTATTGATGAAGATCTGCTTTTAGACGACCCTTTAAGTGTCACGCTTTCACCCGCAAAAGATGAATGCAATTTCCTTGAAGAAATTTCAAGTGAGTGCGCACGTATGCTTGATAAATCCGAAACTTATAGGAAACCTCTACACTATCTAGATCTTAAGGACCAAACAAACATTCCTACACCTCCTAAAGACACTGCTTCAGTAATTAATGATCCTTGGAGCGAGATTAAAGCCGCTAAAGTCGAGCTTAAACCTCTTCCCGTCGGACTTAAGTACGCCTTCCTTGGACCAAATTCTACTTATCCTGTCAAAATAAACTCTGGTTTGACGGAGGAAGAAACCACAATGCTGTTGACTGAGCTGAGAAAGCATAGAAAAACCTTAGGATATTCACTTGATGACATACCTGGAATCTCTCCAGATCTTTGTATGCACAAGATAAATCTAGAGGATAATGCTAAAAACTCAATCGAAAGTCAAAGGAAACTGAACCCTAATCTCATGGATGTTGTCAAGAAGGAGATTATGAAGCTTTTAGAAGCTGGAATAATCTTTCCTATCTCAGATATCACTTGGGTTAGCCCAGTTCATGTTGTTCTAAAGAAAGGAGG